GAAATAACAAATCCAGCCAGGCACGGTGGCTCATGCCTGTAATCGCAGCACTTTGGGAGGCCAAGGCAGGTGGATCACAAGGTCAAGAGATTGAGACCATACTGGCCAACGTGGTGAAACCCCGTCTCTACTAAAAATACAAAAATTAGCTGGGTGTGGTGGCATGCACCTGTAGTCCCAGCTACTTGGGAGGCTGAGGCAGGAGAGTCACTTGAACCCGGAAGGCGGAGGTTGCAGTGAGCCCAGATCGTGCCACTGCACTCCAGCCTGGGTGACAGAGCAAGACTCCGTCTCAAAAAAAAAAAAAAAAAAAAAAATTCACCGAGAGGACTTGATGTGTTTCTGTTATTTTCGTAAATTTCAGATGATGAGACATTTATTATTTTTTGCAAAAGCAAAGTTAAAAACTTGGAAGTCCTAATATTAATCTGAGTTTCTTCTTAAGGGGTAAGAACTTGGTGGAGTTTAATAACACCTGATGCTTGATAATAATACCTGATGCTTGATATTGACGTACCCACAGTGGAAGTTTCATTTTCTGATAACTGGTAACAGAAATAATTTAAAAATAAGCATATATTTATACATATGTATACATACAGCAAATCCCTACTGAGCCAGGCGTGCTCCTATAGCCCCAGCTACTCGGGAGGTTGAGGCCACAGTGAGCTATGATCACTCTCGAGTTTGGGCAACAGAATAAGACCCTGTTTCAAAAAACAAACAACAAAAAAAAAACCTTTTTGTTTTCTTAATAGAGTCTGTCATGGAGTGTACACTTTAAATTTTGATAAAATCCAAATTATCCATTTTTTATTTTGTAGGTTGAGCTTTTTGTATCCTATCTAAGAAATCTTTACCTAATCCAAGATCACAAAGATTTTTGTCTGTGATTCTTTTGTTTTTCTTTTTGAGACAAGGTCTCTATCTGTCACCTAAGCTGGAGTGCTGTGGCGGGATCATGGCTCACTGCAACTTCCGCCTCCTGGGCTTAAGCCGTCTTCCCGCCTCAGCCTCCTGAGTAGCTGAGACTACAGGCGCATGCCACCACCCCTGGCTAATTTTTGTATTTTTTGTAGAGATGGGGTTTCGCCATGTTGCCCAGGCTGTTCTCAAACTCCTGGCCTCAAGCAATTTTTGCGCCTTGGCCTCCCAAAGGGCTGGGATTACAGGCATGAGTCACCTTGCCCGGCTCTGCAATCCATTTTGAGTTCCTTTTTGTTTACCACGTGAGAGAAGGATCTAGAGTAATTAATTTTTTTTTTCTTTTTGAGATGGAGTCTTGCTTGGATATTTATTATATTTAGCAATATCCACAAAGCCAGATGGAGTGCAGTGGTGTGATCTCAGCTCGCTGCAAGCTTGGCCTCCTGGGTTCACACCATTCTCCTGCCTCAGCCACCCGAGTAGCTGGGACTACAGGCGCCCGCCACCATACCTGGCTAATTTTTTGTATTTGTAGTAGAGACAGGGTTTCATCATGTTAGCCAGGATGGTCTCGATCTCCTGACCTCGTGATCTGCCTGCCTCGGCCTCTCAAAGTGCTGGGATTACAGGCGTGATAGAGTAATTCTTTTACATATAGATGCTTAATTGTTGTAGCACAATTTGATTGAGACAGAGTATTGCTCTATCACCCAGACTGGAGGGCAGTGGCACAATCTTGGCTCACTGCAACCTCTGTCTCCTGGGCTTAAATGATTTTTAGTAGAGACAGGGTTTTACCATGTTGTCCAGGCTGGTCTCGAACTCCTGGCCTCAAGCAATCAACCTGCTTCAGCCTCCCAAAGTACATGAGCCACCATGCCCAGCCTATCTTTGTCTGTTGACCACATATATACATATGTGTGTGTGTATATCAGTCTATTTCTGGATATTCTGCCCTGAATTTCTATATATCCTTATGCTAAAAATACACTGTCTTGATTATTATAGTTTTATAATAAGTCTTGAAATCAGTGTCAGTCCTCTTAACTTTATTTTTCTTGTTCAAAATAGTTTTGGCTTTTCGAGGTCTTTTGTGTTTCCATATAAATTTTAGAATTAGTTTGTCAGTTTCAACAAAAAAGCCTTCTGATTGGGATTGCATTTAACCAATAGATTGATTTGGGGAAAATTGACATCTTAATAATATACACATAGAGGGGAACAACAGACGCTGGTGTCTACTGGAGAGTGGGAGAAGGGAGAGGATCAAGAAAAATAATGAGGACTAGACTTAATAACTGGGTGACAAAATAATCTCCATAACAAGCCCCCGTGACACGAGATTACCTGTGTAACAAATCTGCACGTGTACCCCTGAACTTAAAAGTTAAAAAAAATTTTTTTTTAATTGAAGAGATATATTGGGCTTTGATTTTGAATATTTATTATGTTTTAGCAATATCCACAAAACCAGATTTATTTATTCTGTATTCTTATTCATATTCTCTGGAAATGCTGAGAATGTTGTGAGGAAGAATTTTGAGTTTTCCCAACTTCCCCTTGTGACCAAATAAAGATTTTTACCAGACAGGGTATGACCAGCTCTTTCATTTGGTTCCTTTTCTTTTTTTTCTCCTTTCTTTGATGAGCAAAATAAAAAAGAAGGAAAATAACTTTTCACCAGCCTAAGAAGATCTTTTATAACAAACCTGGGCAAACCAGTGACGTTACTTATCTAATTTTAAGGCCAGATGTTATCACTATCACATAAAATTAATATATTCATCTTCTAGGCAAGTACTTCTCAAAACTGTGGTGTCTGGAGCCATCAGCATCAACTGGAGACTTGTTAGAAACACAGATTCTAGGTCGGGTGCTGTGGCTTATACCTGTAATGCCAGCACTTTGGGAGGCCGAGGCAGGTGGATCACTTACTTAAGCTCAGGAGTTTGAGACCAGCCTGGGCAACATGACGAAACTTGTCTCTAAAAAAATACAAAAAATAACCAGACGTGCCTATAGTCCCAGCTACTCGGGAGGCTGAGGTGGGAAGATGGCTTGAACATGAGAGGTTGAGGCTGGGGTGAGCCATGATTGTGTGACTGCATTCCTGCTGGTGAGAGAGTAAGATCCTGTATCTCAAAAAAAATAGAAAAATAAAAAAATGCAGATTCTTTGGCCCTGCTCCAGACCTGCTAAATCAGAAACCCTGAGAAGTGGGCCCAGCATTCTGTTTTCACAAGTCCTCCCTCTGACTCCAGTATAGGCTAAAGGTTGAGAATTGCTATCAGAGACTTTTTTTTTTTTAATTTTTTTTTGAAACAGAGTCTTGCTCTGTCACCTAGGCTGGAGTGCAATGGTGTGATCTCCACCCACTGCAACCTCTGCCTCCCAGGTTCAAGCGATCCTTTCGCCTCAGCCTCCCAAAGAGCTGGGATTACAGGTGTGCACCACCATGCCCCGCTAATTTTTGTATTTTTAGTAGAGACGATGTTTTCCCATGTTGGCCAGTTGGGTCTCGAACTCCAGACCTCAGGTGGTCCACCTGCCTCGACCTCCCAAAGTGCTGGGATTACAGGCATGAGCCTGGCCTTATCATAGGCTTTTAAGAGTAAGAATTCCCCTTTATTCCTTGGTTTAGAACCTTCTTTTTGAACGATCAGTCTTAAGCTTTATCAAAAGAGAGAAGATGGACACAAATTTTGAGGCCGTTGCAGCAGTCGATACAGAGGTAAAATCTACAGGACGTGGATAAAAGAGCAGGGGAAAGAGAGAAATCAGAGATGGCTCTTTTTCAAAGTTTTTGGTTAACTGGATCAGCATTCTAGAAAATTCTTGTGTCACACATCTTTTGATCTGTCCATTGACCACTGCAGAGCTGTCATATTCTGTCACAGTATCCTGTACAAGATAGTGGTTTTAGCATTGTTTAAACAGCACCGTCGGCACCCTAAAGGACTTGATGCTATTTTAATTTTTTACAACTTTTTATTTTTATTTTTTTTGAGACAGAGTCTTGCTCTGTTGCCCAGGCTTGAGTGCAGTGACATGATCATAGCTCACTGCAGGTTCAAGTGATCCTCCAGCCTCAACTTCCTGAGTAGCTGGGACTACAGGCATGCAGCACCATGCCCGGTTAGTTTTACATTTTTTTTTGTAGAGACAAGGTCTCACTATGGTGCCCAGGCTGGTCTCCAACTCCTGGCCTCAAATGATCCTCTTGCCTCGGCCTCCCAAAGTGCTAGCATTACAGGTGTGAACCACTGTGATTGATGCCTTGATGCTATGTTAATTTGGGGAGATTCATTTGTGGCAGTGTTAGTGGTAGTGCAAAAGTAAACTGCTAATGGGAGCAAAAGAGAAGATCTTAAATCTGGTGTCTTTTTTTTTTTTTTTTTTTTTTTTTAGGGTAGACAGGAGGCAGAAAGATTGAAAATAAACCCCTCAGCTTATGGACAGATGATCATCTGTAACTTAAGTTTTCCTAAGTTTCCAATTTACTGTAATTATTTTCATTTGACCAGTCTTAGTGAAAACAGATTGTTTTGAGTATTAATAGATGATCTCTGCTTTTAGGATTCAAGAGTTAAAAAATGAATATGAAGTAACATCTGTTGCTGTTTGAAATGCAGAACAACTTTTTTTTTTTTTTTTTTTTCTTCGAAGACGGAGTCCGCTCTGTCGCTCCGGGCTAATTGAGCTGCAGTGGCGGATCTCAGCTCCTGCAAGCTCGCCTCCGGGTTCTACGCCATTCTCCTGCCTCAGCCTCCACGAGTAGGCTGGGATTACAGGCAACCGCCCTCGCCGCTAAGTTTTTTTGAGTTTTTAGTAGAGACAGGGTTTCACCGTGTTAGCCGGATCTGGTCTCGATCTCCTGACCTCGTGATCCACCCGTCTCGGCCTCCCAAAGTGCTGGGATTACAGGCTTGAGCCACCGTGCCCGGCCTCAGAACAAACATTTTAATAGAGGCAATAACTGAAATTATTGTCCAGTATCAGAACCACTGTCTTCTTATTTTCATAGAAATTCGAATCTGGAGAAGCAAATCTCTTACAGTGAGTTTCTGTTACAGCTAGTCCTCCTCGCTTTGTGACAGTAGAAGAACTTCTAGAGACAGCGAGAGGCGTCACCAACATGGCTCTAGCCCATGAAATTGTAGTAAATGGAGACTTTCAGATTAAACCAGTTGAATTACCGGAAAACAGGTAAGGTGGTTGCTAAATTATCTTGCTTAGTAGAGCACTGCCATTTCCCAGTTTTGGAAATGTTTCCTTCAGTTGATACCAATATATTCGGACATATTTTTCCTTTTGTACATTATTGCTAAAAAATATTCCTAAACAAGGAACACCAATTCTTCAAAAATCAAATGAAAGGTCTAAAAGTCTTTTGTGAAAGTCTCCCTACTCAGTAGGATCTAGCTTCCTCATCTTGTGTTTTCATTGCCTTGTTTCATTCACTCTTCTTTGAAACTATCACACTGCACTATAGTCGTTGGTTTTGTTGCACAGGTGAAGACTGTGGGTTATTCTCAGTGTCCCTAGTGCCTGGCACTTAACTATTTTTTTATTGAATCAAAAACTCTATTGATTGTAAGGTGCCCCTTTTAAAAATGTGCTGTCATAAGAAAGAGGAAACACTGCCCATTATAATTATAAAAATGCCATTGATTTTAAGAAAGATCCAAGTTTCTGAGAGATTAAAATATTGGGGGGTGGGGGAGTTTGTTTTAGAATCAAGGAAATATGTGTGCAAGTGCCCTTCTGTCAGCAACTCACTGAAGTCAGGATTCTGGATGGTGCCTGAGAGTCTCTTGGCCTGTCCTCCTGGTTGCAGGATGAATGCTGCAGCTCCAAACATCCCATCATACATCAGCCTTCTGGGCAAGAGGGAAAAGGTTGGGAGGATTAGGGCTCTCCTTTTGTTAGAGAGGAACATCTTCCCCTGCAGTCGTGAAAGAGACATCTGCTGACACTTCGTTAATCAGAATTTCGTAACATGCTACCCTTGCTATAGGTGAACCTGGAACGCTTAAGTCGGGTAAAAGGGAATGAACTGTGATGGGCTTGTTAGATCAGTCATGATTTATTGTCATAGGCAGAGTATATTGTTGCCCTGAAAAACAGTGGGATTCTGTTCACAAAAGAAGGAGGAATGGCTGCTGTGCTGGCAAGTGTCTTCCGTAGGAAGCTTCTAAATTTGACTTCACAGATATTTCTTATATCTGCAGAGATAGTACTTTTTTGCATTTAATAATGAAGAATTGCTTGTTTTGTGCTCATGACAGAAAGACATTTTGTTGTTGTTGTTGTTGTTGTTGTTGTTGTTGTTTGAGATGGAGTCTCGCTCTGTTGCCCAGGCTGGAGTGCAGTGGCATGATCTTGGCTCACTGCAACCTCCGCCTCGCAGGTTCAAGCGATTCTCCTACTTTAGCCTCCTGAGTAGCTGGCATTACAGGCATGTACCACCATGCCCAGCTAATTTTTGTATTTTTAGTAGAGACGGGGTTTCACCGTATTGATCAGGCTGGTCTCAAACTCCTGACCTCGTGATCCACCTGCCTCAGCCTCCCAAAGTGCTGGGACTACAGGCATGAGCCACTGCACTGGCCGTTGTTGTTGTTTTTTGAGACGGAGTCTTGCTCTGTTGCCCAGGCTGGAGTGCAGTGGTGCATTCTCAGCTTACTGCAGCCTCCACCTCCCAGGTTCAAGCAATTCTCCTGCCTCAGCCCCCTGAGTAGTTGGGACTATAAAGCACACGCCACCACGCCCGGCTAATTTTTGTATTTTTAGTAGAGGTAGTATTTCACCGTGTTGGCCAGGCTGGTCTTGAACTCCTGACCTCAGGTGATCCTCCCGCCTTGGCCTCCCAAAATGCTGGGATTACAGGCGTGGACCACCATGCCCGGCCAATACTGGTTTTAATGAAACGTTGTGATGTATATATAAGTTGTTATAGTTTGGTACCTAGTTAAGCAATTGTCCCATATATCACATGGGAATATGATATTTTTAGGAAATAAAGTCCTTCAACCTACTACATACTGAATTGTTATCTTATTATTATTATTTTATTTTTTTGAGACAGAGTCTCGCTCTGTTGTCCAGGCTGGAGTGTAGTGGCACTATCTCGGCTCACTGCAACCTCTGGCCAGGCTGATCTCGAACTCCTCACCTCAGGTGATCTGCCTGCCTCGGCCTCCCAAAGTGCTGGGATTACAGGCGTAAGTCACAACGCCCAGCCTAAATTGTTATCTTAGACTACCTAATTATAAACATCTTAAGAAACTTGCTAGTAACAGGGAACTAAAATTAACAGCTTTGGACTTTTCAGTATTCTTATTATATGGCACTGTCATATGCTGTTACTTGGATTAATGTTGGCTGTCCAGTTAGTTGAGAGCGATTCTTTCCAATTAGATGCTTATTGCCAAAAATCACTAACTTTTAAAATAAAGTATGCCATCAGTTGAAGTATGCCTGGGAAATCTTTCCTTGATCCAAATCACTGGGATTGATCTTACCCTAAACCCATATTATTTGTGCTTTTGAAAGTGATTTGAAACTCAAATATTTTGGTTTTTGCCCTTTTGTTTGTTTTTTTCACTGCCCCAGCTTGAAGAAGAGAGTAAAGGAGATTGTACATAAAGCGTTTTGGGATTGCTTGAGTGCACAGCTAAGTGAAGACCCCCCAGCGTATGACCATGCTATCAAACTTGTAGGAGAAATCAAAGAGGTGAGGCAAAGAGTGAATTGTGATGCTTTTCTGGTGTGTTAGGAGTGTGTATTCAACTTCTTGTGTCACCACCAGAAGTCTTTAAAGAAATTGAAGGATCAAGAAGTTAAATTACTTGCCAAAAGGTGGATCAAGAGTGTTTTTGGCTTAATGCCCTTTTTTAAAAAAAGTTTTAAGCAAACCATGATAACCTGAAGGCATTAAAGACAACAAAGTTATTTCACAAAATCTAGAATATTTATAAGTTTTAATAGATATGGACACATTCCATTTATAATGGCCAAAAAGTGACTCAGCCTTTGGGATCAAGAAAGCTTTAGGTGGAGGGACTTTTTGCAGTGCCTTTAGCAATAGCATCAAAGAAGAAATGTATGCATGGAAATTGTCATCTGTGGTTGGCTCACAGGCTCACATTAATAAACATGCTTTTCTTTTTTCACCATTAACAGTTTTTTTTCTATCCATTTAATTGCTACGTAGAGCTTAAATGAAAGCTTGAGTAGCTATTGTAAATGATTTGTAAGCATGTTTTTCTGTAGGTTTGTTGAATAAGAGGTAAAAGATGTGCAATATTACATAGCAATTGGTAAGCCCTTATTTGGATAGTTATAAATTGCATATAATTAGAAATGATGTCTAGGAATTTTGATTAAACGTAGCTGTGTTCTCTTGTAGACTCTCTTATCTTTCTTGCTGCCTGGTCATACTAGACTGAGAAACCAGATAACAGAAGTCTTGGATCTGGATCTGATAAAGCAGGAAGCAGAGAATGGGGCCCTAGACATTTCCAAACTGGCAGAATTCATTATTGGCATGATGGGGACACTGTGTGCACCTGCTCGAGATGAGGAAGTTAAGAAACTAAAGGACATTAAGGAAATAGTGCCCCTGTTCAGGTATGGAAATATGTTAATCATACTCCGGCAACTACAATTCAGAGGCATTTTCTTTTTTTTTTTTTTTTTTTTTTTTTTTTTGAGATGGAGGCTCACTCTGTTGCCTAGGCTGGAGTACAATGGCGTGACCCTGGCTCACTGCAACCTCCACCTTCCGGGTTCAAGCAGTTCTCATGCCTCAGCCTCCTGAGTAGCTGGGATTACAGGCACGCACCGCCATGCCCGGCTAATTTTTGGTAGAGATGGTGTTTCACGATGTTGGCCAGGCTGGTCTCGAACTCCTGACCTCAGGTGATTGGCTGCCTTGGCCTCCCAAAGTGCTGGGATTACAGGCGTGAGCCACTGTGTCCAGACCAGAGCTATTTTCAACTTAAACTTCCTGAAGTCTTGGTACTCATGGATTAAGAAAAAAAAACAAAAGTTTTTCTTTTGAAAAAGAAAACATTTTCTTTTGAAAAATTCCAAACCTACAGAAAAGTTACAAAAACAGTACAATCAACACTCACAGACCCTTCATGTGGATCCATCAGTTTTTACCGTGTTGTCACATTTGCTGTGCTGCCCAGGCTGGTCTGGAACTCCTGGGCTCAAGCAGTCCTCCCGCCTTGGACTCCCAAAGTGTTGGGATTACAGGCATGAGCCATGCGTCTGGTCCTCTTTTCCTTTAATACTATGTTTACTTTACAAGTGTTTGGTTCTAAATCCTTTTTTCTTTCAGAGAAATTTTTTCTGTGTTGGACCTAATGAAAGTGGACATGGCCAACTTTGCTATCAGTAGTATCAGGCCTCATCTCATGCAGCAGTCAGTTGAATACGAAAGGAAGAAGTTTCAAGAGATTTTGGAGAGGCAACCAAGTATGTTTAGTATTTTGTGGTACTTTTTTTGTTGTCTGTGGTTTTTCATTTTAGCTGCCATAGCTTGTTGCATAATACTATGTTCAGAACAAAACTAAAATTTAGTATGAGAATAGTCTAATTCGAAGAAGGAAAAGCACAAAATGTTAGGACTACATCTAGAGTTGTTAAGCATTGAAAAGAAAACGTGACAAGCAAAAGGAATATGAGTAGGCTATGAGAATAGAAATTAAAAACAATGAAGTCCTAAATTAGAAATTTTTTAAATGAAAGCACTGGTTTGAAATAAAATACATTCTTGGTCTTGATTTTTGAAAACATGACAGACGTCCTGTGAATGTTAATTTACTTTTCTTCTCCCTGTGTGGCATAGCAGGAAATTTAACTTTGCTTTTGTTCTGGATGCATAAATCTTCTTGTTTCATACCCAGGAAGAGTCTCATTTTTATGAACCTCTCCGATGACTGCAGAAAACAGACGACTATCAGAATGTAAAACTGTATTGTATTTCTAGGGTGCTTTTTATGGTCTCTGCATTGCTAGCTGACATTCTGGGTAAATTTCAGTCTTCAGATTCAATGTATGATGAATTCCGTTTGGCCTCTAATTTTGCTGACGACGAGATGAAAACAGCAGTCTCTGGGTTGGTTTGGTTGCCGGACCAGATTAGTTAAGTGAATGCCCCACACAGTTGATTCATCCAGCCCCAGGCAGAGAAGTCTGAGGTGGTGCTGGGGCCAGGGGAAGTTGGGAAAGGGCAGGGTAGGGGCAGAAGTAGAAGAAGTTTGGTAATGTTTACTGAGTGCCAGGCTTGTGCCAAGGGCTGGATGTGCATGTAATCCTCACACAGTAAGCTGACGAGCCAGGCACCTTTTTTTTAAACCCCATTTTACAGATATTGGAAACAGGTTTTGAGAGATTTTTGACCAGAATGGATTGACCACAAGCTCACACTCTCACCAGTGTTGTGAGAGTACTGGGAAGATATATATGTATATATTTTTTGAGATGGAGTCTCCTCGCTCTGTCACCTGGGCTGGAGTGCAGTGGCATGATCTCTGCTCACCACAACCTCCGCTGGGCAGAGTTTTGTAGACTGAAGAGCCTTAATATTAAGGCCTGGCCTTGGAAGCTGGGGTGCAGTGGAGGACTCACTGGTAGGGTGGAAGCAGCTACAGTGCCTGCGTCTAGCACTTAACTCACAACTTTCATGAAAGCCCGGGTTTCCCAAAGCTTGCGGGTTATAGAGAATGCTGTCTGCAGAAGAGAGGGTGAAGCCAGATGGCCCAGCAGTCAGGACCAAGAGCTCAGGGCAAACTGGAGCTACATCCCCCTGCCTCAGTGAAGAGCAGACCACCGCTGTGACCTTGGCCGTCCACTTGGTTTTAAGGAAGCAGGAAGCCTCCACTGACAGAGCTGCCGCGCCTCCTGGGACCTGACAGGCGCAGTTTTTATCAGATGATGTGCAAGATAAGCCAGCTCTCTGTCCCTCAGAGTGCCCGCTGCATTACTTAGCTTAGAAAAGCAGGGGCGCACGAGGGCTGCTGAAAGCCAGAAGGGGCTTCCCTGACAGAGACAGAGTTCACTTCCCCCAGGTGGAAAGGAAGCCAGACTGATACAAGGTTAAGATCTAAACAAGGAAAAGCCTCATCGTCAGTGTAGAGGATACTTTACACAGGGAAACTCTAGCCGGTGTCTCATCCCATCCGTCTCTAGAGCTGGAGTCGCCAGGGCTTTGGGGCCCATCTTATGCAGTGGTCAGGATGGGAGAGAAAGGAAGGAAGGTTTGTTAAATACCGGGTGAGTGGCAAGGCCTGGCTAGGTGTCATATATTCGTTATTATTATTATTACTTTAGACAGGGTCTAGCTCTGTCACCCAGGCTGGAGTATAGTGGTGTAATGTCACCACTCACTGCAACTTCAACCTCTGGGGTTCAAGTGATTCTCCTGCCTCAGCCTCCCAACTAGCTGGGGCTACAGGCACGTGCCACCACACCCGGCTAACTTTTGTATCTTTTGTAGAGACAGGGCCTTGCCACATTGCCTAGGCTGGTCTTGAACTCCTGGGCTCAAGCAATCTAACCACCTCAGCCCCCCAAAGTGCTGGGATTACAGGCATGAGCCACCATGCATGGCTTATTCATTATCTTGTTTAATCCTCACAACAGCCTGTGAGGTGGGTGTTGTGAATTTCCCTACATCAGGCATCTGAAACTCAAGACACATTATGACTTGGCTGAGATCCCTCAGTTAGTCATTGGCACTACTATGATTTGATCCAAGTTTTATTTGATTCTGAAGTTCATACTTTCTACTTTATCACTCCGCCAGGACGTCGATTGTCCCTTAAGTAATTCCAAGAAGCATCCCTTCTCGGTGTCAAGATAATGTATGCAGCTTTGTTTTTCACAGATTCCCTGGACTTTGTCACCCAGTGGCTGGAAGAAGCCTCAGAGGACCTTATGACTCAGAAGTATAAACACGCCCTGCCAGTTGGGGGAGCAGCTGCTGGCTCTGGGGACATGCCCAGGCTGAGCCCTGTTGCTGTCCAGAATTACGCTTATCTGAAGCTTCTGAAGTGGGACCACCTCCAGAGGCCGTTCCCTGAAGTAGGTCTCCTGAGCCATCTCACTACTCATGTTTGTTTTTGTGCTGCTGAACTTTTTAAAAAGAATAGCTTTGGCCAGGCACAGTGGCTCACTCCTGTAATCCCAGCACTTTGGGAGGCAGAGGCAGGCAGATTGCTTGAGGTCAGGAGTTTGAGACCTGCCTGGGCAACATGGTGACACCCTCTCTGTACTAAAAATACAAAAAAATTAACTGGGCGTGGTGGCAGGGCCTGTAGCCCCAGCTACTTGGGAGGCTGAGGCAGAGAATTGCTTAAACCTGGGAGGTGGAGGTTGTGGTGAGCCGAGATTGTGCCCCTGCACTCCAGCGTGGGCGACAGAGCGAGACTCTGTCTCAAAAAATAAAAATAAATAAATAAATAAATAAAATAAAAGATAAAAAGAATAGCTTTATTCTGATATAATTCATGTACCAGAAAATTCTCCCTTTTAAAGTGTACAACTCAGTGTTTTTTAGTATAGTCACAGACTTATGCATCCATTACGACTGTTTAATTGAGAACATTTTCATCACCTCCAATAGAAACACTGCACCCATTAGCAGTCACTGCCCTTTCCCCCTCCCTCCAACCCCTGAAGCCACAAATCTGCTTTCTGTCTCTATGGATTTGCCTATCCTGGACATTTTATTTAAATGAAATCATACACCATCAGCCTTTGTGCCTGGCTTCTTTCCCCAATGTTTTTTCTTGTTGTAGCATATATAACAGTACTCTCGTCCTCTTTTCCACTGTGTTTTTTTCTTCGTTGTGGTAAAATACACATAACATAAAATTTACCATTTTAACCATTTCTAGTTTTCCAGTTCAGTGGCATTAAGTGCATTCACATTGTTGTGCAACCATTGCCACCAGCCGTCTCCAGAACATTTTCATTTTTCCTTCTGTGAAACTGTCTTCCCACCAAACACACCAAACAGTAATTTCCATTGCCCCTGCCCTCTGGCCCCTGGCAGCCACCATTCTATTTTGAGTCTCTATGAATTGGACTAATCCAGATACCTCATATGAATGGAATTATACAATCTTTGTCCTTTTGGGTCTGGCTTATTTTACTTAGCATAATGTCTTCAAGGTTCATCTATGTTGTAGTATGTGTCAGTGTTCCCTTTCTGAGTTTTACATTTTTTTTTAAATTTTAGAGACAGGGTCTTATTGTATTGCTCAGGCTAGGTGGTACAATAGCTCACTGTAACTTTGAATATTGGGGCTCAGGTGATCCTCCTGCCTCAGCCTCCTGGGTAGCTAGGACTATAAGAGTGTACCACCACACCCAGCTAATTTTTAAATGTGTTTTTTGTAGAGACAGGGGTCTCGCTATGTTACTCAGGCAGATCTTAAACTCCTGGCCTCAAGTGATCCTCCCTCCTTGGCCTCCCAGTGTTGGGATTACAGGCATGAGCTACCACGCCCAGCCCTCCTTTCTTTTTTAGGCTGAATAATGTATTTTTCTGTATGAATATACCACATTTTGTTTATTCATTCATCAGTTGACAAACATTTGGGTTGTTATTACAAATTATGCTTCTGTGAATATTCTAGTACAAGTTTTTGCATGGACATATGTTTTTACCTCTCTTGGTTACGTACCTAGGATTAGAATTGCTGGGTTACATGGTGACTCTTAAGTTTAACATTTTGAGGAACTGCCAAACTGATTTCCAAAGCGGCTGCATCATTTTACAATCCCACCAGCAATGTACGAGGCGCCAATCTGTGCTGCTGCACTTTTCTCCTGTTTTTGCTCATCTTGATAGAAACCACAACAGAGGTGTGGTTGTTCACAGCTTTATCTAAAGAAACTTCTTCCCCTTCCATGCTGAACAATATTTTTTCCTTTTATGTTTTTCACAATACATACTTCTAACTGCAGGACTTCTTTAGGAAGATGGCTGAGAAGGGATTCCCCCAGTGTTTCTCTAAATAGCTGTTCTGTTACGTAGACTCCCTCCTCTTTTTGGGGGGTATGTGAGTTTCTTATCACTAGCCTCAGATTCAGCTACTTCTCTAAATATCTTTCTTGTAAGTTCCTTATTTTTCCTTTCAAGAAGTTGTGAGCTTAAGATTTCGCCTCTTGCTTCTGAGTTCCCTGTTTTGTGCTGGAGGAAGCTCTAAAGAGAATGTCAAATTGGAGATGAGAAAATGTTCCCTTTGAACTGTGGCATGTTCTCTTCTGGAGGGAAGTTCTTAGCCTGACATTTCTGTTTAAAAATAGCTGTGGGAGACCATCCAATACCTCCCTTTTCCCTACCGCTGATCATCTTCACCAAGCCTTAGATACCCCTGCTTCTTCATCCCATAAATATCCCTAAGCTCTCTCTATGGAAAGGAGGATGTGAGACCTGTTCTCCAGACTCCTCACTTGGCAGTCTTATGAATAAACCCTCTCTTGTTAAAAAAATAAAAATAAAAAAAAAGAAAGAAAGAAAAGAAACGCTGTGGGGAAGATGGTGATGGTCCCTGGGGACAGCTGTCTACTCCAGGAATTGATCCTTGGCAATCTGCATCCTAAACTCACATCCTGCGGACTGTTGGGAAGCCACAAAGCCATGTGAACTCAGAAAACAGGCTGACGATGAGTCCTTGGGATTGTATTTGTAGCAGCAGAAGATTCTCAATCCTCAGAGTTTTTACTTCTTGGCTGTGACCCCACATTGTTCATGTCTTGATTTGGCACATCTCAGTTTCTGACAGCGAGAAAGGTCCTTAGAGTCCATTCGATGAGCCTGTAAACTCTCTCAGATCAGACACCCATCTGCCCAGCCTTTCCCTTCTCCTTCCCTCACCTACACGGGCAGAATCGCTGGCATGGTAGGACCCAGGGCTCCCTTTAACATGGGGGAGGCAGTCGTGGGAACGCGCTTGCTTTCCGGGAGGCTTTAGGTTGTTCTCTGTCACTTCTACTCTCTGTGCTTCCTGTTTTTTTCTCTTCCTCTCTATTTATTTGCCAGTTTTTACAAGCCTCCTTTGTGCTGGGTGCTGAGTGGGTACCAAGGTGAGTAAGTGTAGGCTCTGCCCGCAAGACACTCCTCCCTTCCATTGCTCTGGGATTTTTGTTGTTGTTTTAAGATGGAGTCTCACTCTGTTGTCCAAGCTGCAGTGTAGTGGCTATTCACAAGCATAATCATAGTGCACTGCAGCATCGAACTTCTGGCCTCAGCGATCCTCCTGCCTGAGCCTCCCAGTAGTTGGGTCTGCAGGCACCCACCACTGCACCTGGCCTTCTATTGCTCTGTACAGGATGACTAGCTGTCCTAGTTTGCTAGGGACCGAGTGGGGGTTTACAGGACTTGGGAATTTCCATTTGAAAACTGGGACAGTCCCAGACAAACTGGGAGGAGTTGGTGACCCTAGGTCTGTACCTCATTATACTTTTCTTCCCAACAATAGGTATCACTTTTATTTATCGAGCGCTGGCTCTGCCAGCCACTTTATATGTAGCATCTTTCTTCAGCTTTAAAACAGCCCTGTGATTTGGGAGTCCCCATTCTGCAGAGGCCTGACAAAGTTGGCGATGCTTGCATAAGGTCATGATTTCTTTTTTTTTTTTTTTTTTTTGAGATGGAGTTTCACTTTTGTTGCCCAGTCTGAAGTACAGTGGTGCAGTCTCAGCTCTCTGCAACCTCTGCTTCCTGGGTTCAAGAGATTCTCCTGCTTCATCCTCTCGAGTAGCTGGGATTACAGACATGCGCCACCACACCCGGCTAGTTTTGTATTTTTAGTATAGATGGGGTTTCACCATGTTGGTCAGGCTGGTGTTGAACTCCTGACCTCAGGTGATCTGCCCACCTAGTCCTCCCAAAGTGCTGGGATTACAGGTGTGAGCCATCGTGGCCAGCCAGGGAGGTCATGCTATTAAGCATGGAGCCTGGCTTTACACCCAGTCCTGTGTGTGTTCTTAGTGAGGATGCTATACTGCGTCCTTGCTCAGGAGGAATGACTCTGAGATGGAGGGGTTATTTCACACCAGACTTCCTCAAAGCTCTGACACACCAGCGCAAACCCTGAGGGAAGCTGCAGAGGCAGGTGTGGGGGCTGTGGCGCTCCTGCCCTCTGCTTGCTAGCCTGGACCTGCAGCTCAGCGATGGCCTCTTCTGTTCATTACAGACAGTTTTAATGGACCAGTCTCGCTTCCATGAGCTCCAGTTGCAGCTGGAACAACTGACCGTCCTGGGGGCTGTGTTGCTGATCACCTTCAGCATGGCAGCCCCAGGAATTTCCAGCCAGGCCGACTTTGCTGAGAAACTCAAGATGATTGTGAAGATTTTGCTAACAGATATGCACCTACCGTAAGTGGAACTTTCATGCATGGATGGGAGGCAGTGGATGGCAGAGAGCCGACTAGAGTCTCCCAGAGGGGTCTCCCACTGTAAGGCAGACCCCAGGGCCACTCTCTAGGAACTGAGAAGAAACCTTGCTGTCTCAGTTGGTTCACTTGGCGAAGACCCCAGCAGAGTTTATTCAGGGTCATAGGGTCAAAGTTAGAATCTGCTGCAGGGTTAGCAAAGCTCTAGGATAGTGGCTTTAAAATGTGTGTGACTAACTGAGTAGCCTATAGGGCCTTAGAGGCCACACTGAGGAGTTGGGTTATTGTCCTAAGAGCTGTAGGGAGCCATTGAAGGGTTTGAAGCAAGAGGGGGAACGTAATTAGATTTATGCTCTTAAGTTTAAATTTTGGCATGGGGCGCATAGTAGATGTGAGGGAGCATTTAGGGGGTGAGAGGAGAAGTGGCTCGGGCAGGGGGGTAGGCCATGGGCAGGGTGAGGAGTGCTGATATCAATGGTTGCTTGCCTTGAGGAGTCGAAGATCCTGGGCTTAGGGGTCCTGTGGCCCTCCATTGCCTGTTAGCGTGCTCCTCCCGGGGCCTGGCCTGGTGCTGAGTGCCATCAACTCATTTATTCTCCCTACGCAGGGAACAGAATGCTGTCTGACCCCTTCCTTCTTTAATGGGGTTGTCTTTGTCTCCTGACCTCCAAGGTTCTTGTGTTTGATGTTTGTTGAGTGCTTTATTCCTCTCCCAAAGCCATTCAAATGTATTAAACTCCTACTGGAGCTTATGAGGAAACTGAAACCCAGAGACATTAATTGGGACAAAAATGTTTGTGACTAGGACCCGCAGTAAGAAATTCATTTTCCGTTGTGACCTAGTACACACTTAACACACATGTAACAGAAACGAGAACCTCTTCAAAATGGAACTGACCCTAACCGTGTCTAATGCAGCCTGATATTTTCTACTCTATTCTTATTCCATTAAAAAAATATTGGTTGCTACCCACTGAATTGCTTTCATAACCAACTAACAGTGAAAAGCAGAGCTCTATGGGACGGTCATGAGGGAAACCAGCTGTGTTCCTGCAGAGCTGCATGTATGTGGTTGAAGTGTTCTGCACTTGCGTGTTCCCCGCAGGCGTTCTGTGCTCAGTGTAATGCATCATTTTCTTACCCAGCACGAGTCCACATCTGCACGCATGCAGGCTTCATGACCGCTCCTACCATGGAGTCATGTTGGGTGACTTCTGTGGTTTCCAGCCTATAGAATATCTTTGAGTGGTTCTAAGTAATGCTCTATCTGACAAGGTCCAGTTCAGAGACTTCTTCAAGGGAAGTACCCCCTAAACATTTTCATCCTTACAAAATGCAGAAATTTTACTGCTGAATTTGCACAAAGCATGGCTGTGTTCATTGCAGTGTGGGGCATGTCCACGTGTTGTGACTAGGGGTTCAACAGTTTTGACAGTCAAACTAGTTTGCTGAGAGGCCAGGAAACTGTTTGCTCGGCTGAGGGCCTAGCCTGAGGCCTTTGCACAGGCGCAGCTCTGGGCTGTCACCTAGGTCCCTGCCTGGAGAACTACTCTGTCAAAGCTCCTGCTGAGGGAGGGACCCAGGTCAGGGCTTTCTTGGGAGCCCAGCCTTGCACTCTCATATCCACCCTGGCCCTCCAGGGGTGGGCACGGAACTGGTGCCAATGGTGAGTGCTGGGGCTTGCTCCCACGCCCCCCAGTAATTCTACATACAAAGGATCTAGACCCAGAACCGAGGCAGTTACCTTCTCACAACATGCCTGCCAGCAGGGGGGCTCCCCGCAGGCACCCTGGGAGAACCTGGGGGACCCAGGGAATCCAGATACTCTTTTTTTTTTTAACTTTAGGATTTGACTTTTCTTTATTCTTTTATTTTTTTTTAAATTTTTTAATTAAAAAATTTTTTTTTTTTGAGATGGAGTTTCACTCTTGTTGCCGAGGCTGGAGTGCAATGACGTGATCTCGGCTCACTGCAACCTCCACCTCCTGGGTTCAAGTGATTCTCCTACCACAGTCTCCAGAGTAGCTGGGATTACAGGCACCTGCCACCATGCCCAGCTAATCTTTTTGTATTTTTAGTAGACATGGGATTTCACCATGTTGGCCAGGCTGGTCTTGAACTCCTGACCTCGAACTCCTGATCCATCTGCCTTGGCTTTCCAAAGTTCTGGGATTATAGGCGTGAGCCACCGAGCCCGGACTCTATTCTTTTAAAAGTAGTTAATACGTGTGCATGTTTCAAAAATCAAAAAGTACAAAAGGACATCCAATGAAAAGTTTCTCTCTCCCTCTTGTCCCACAGCTACCAAATGCTTGCTTTCTTGTGTATTCCTCCAGAGGTATATCGAGATATTCTGAGGTCATTCCAGGCTGATTTTTATCACAGAGAGGCTAGCAGGAAGTTGTGCTTTGGGTCGTTGGTCCTGGTATACTCTGAGAGCCCCTGCCCTTCCCACTGTCTTTTCTAGCAGAGGGAGAGAAAGAAGTCCCCCTGGTCAGGTATGCACAGCCTGCGAGGTAAGGTGGCAGGGAAGAGAGTCACAAATTGTTCATTGAACACATAAATCCAGTTATTGGTGCTGTCTTTCTCACCCAGTTGTGGGCGGTTGGAGCCGGTTAGAGGTGTATTTTACTTATAGGCCCTTTCTCCCCTCCTCTGCCCCAGCTCCTTCCATCTGAAGGACGTCCTCACTACCATCGGGGAGAAGGTGTGCCTAGAGGTGAGCAGCTGCCTCTCCCTGTGTGGGTCCTCCCCCTTCACCACGGACAAGGAGACCGTGCTCAAGGGCCAGATCCAGGCCGTGGCCAGCCCCGATGACCCCATTCGCAGGATCATGGGTACGTTTGGGGAAGGCAGGCAGCAGGGATATGCCCTCCGAGGGGCTGGAGGACAGTCCCCTCTGAAGAAACCTGAGGGCTTAGTTGGGGTTAAGGTGCTGATGGGTGAGAGGATGGTGTAATGAAGCACCACAGAGAGACCAGGGCCACCCAACAGATGGGCACAGGACCAGGCAGCCATCATTGTTCGAAGGGCTGCGACCTTGGAATCGCTCTCCTGGGTTCACAAGCAGTGTCCCAGGGCTTGCTGTGCAGCTTGGGCGTGTAACTTGACACTCGAGTTTCCTCATCTCTAAAGCTGGAATAAGAGCAGCAACCTTACAAGGTTGCTGCAGGGACTGCCTGGGGTGAAAAGGTAAAGTGCTTGCCATAGTGCCTGGCAGCACATAGTAAGTGCTCAATAAATAGGAGCTGTTACAAAAAGAGCTGAATAGTAAAATGAAGATGTTATTTAAAAACACAATTAAAATATTATTAAATATTAGTATATAATACTATTAACACATCAAATGTAATAAAACTGTTAAAATGGTAATATTAAGATATTGCTGTTTAAAATTTATAATAAACTTGAAGTATTAAAATATTTTAATGCATATTCTATAAAACATTTAAAATATTCTGTAATATTAGCTATTAGTTATCACAGCAATGGCTTTATGAAAACTTCTGTTAATTAGCTTGATTTAATCATTTCATAGTATATACATATATTTAAAACGTCATGCTGTATACTGTAAATACATAGTTTTGTTTGTTTGTTTTTGAGACAAGGTCTCACTCTGTCTTCCAGACTGGAGTGCAGTGGTGCGATCTCGGCTCACTGCACTGCACCTCCGCACTCCACCTCCCAGGCTCAAGCAGTCCTCCCACGTCAGACTCCCAAGTAGCTGGGACTACAAGCATGCACCACCACACCCGGCTAATTTTTTGTATGTTTTGTAAAGATGGGGTTTTGCCATGTTGGCCAGGCTGGTGTCAAATTCCTGGACTCAAGTGATCCGTCTGCCTCAGCCTCCCAAAGTGCTGGGGTTAACAGGCATGAACCACTGCACCCAGTCAAGATTTATACTCACAACCTTGGTAGGGAGGCAGGAAAGTACCTGTAAGTAGACCTGTGGCCAGCAAGTTGCTTCTCATCCTGCTGCCTGGGTTGTTTTGTAACAGCCAGTTATCAACAGATTGAAAACCAGCCCTTACTGGGAGGATCACTTAAAACCAGGAGTTCGAGACTACCTGGGCAGCATAGTGAGACCCTCATCTCTACAAAACAATTTTTAAAAATATATATAATTAGCCAGGATAGTGACATGCATCTGTAGTCCTTGCTACTCGGGAGGCTGAGGCAGGAGGATCACTTGAGCCCAGGAGATTGAGGTTGCGGTGAGCTATGATTTCACCACTGCACTCTAGCCTGGGTGACAGAGAAAGACCCTATTTCTAAAAGAAAGAAAGAAAGAAAAGAAAAACCAGTCTTTGGGTAGGAACAATACAAAGATTTCTACTTGGGTGAGGCTGCCAGCCCTGGGAACCTTAGAGAACCAAACTAACTTAAGAATAAGGGTGCTGAGCGTGGTGGCTCATGCCTGTAATCCCAGCACTTTGGGAGGCTGAGCCGGGCAGATCACCTGAAGTTGGGAGTTCCAGACCAGTCTGACCAACATGGAGAAACTCCGCCTTTACTAAAAATACAAAATTAACTGGACATGGTGGTGCATGCCTGTAATCCTAGCTACTTGCGAGGCTGAGGCAGGAGAATCGCTTGAACTTGGGAGGTGGAGGTTGCGGTGAGCCGAGATTGTGCCATTGCGCTCCAGCCTGGGCAACAAGAGCGAAACTCTGTTTCAAAAAAAAGAAAAAAAAAAGAATAAGGGGCCGGGCGCGGTGGCTCAAGCCTGTAATCCCAGCACTTTGGGAGGCCGAGACGGGCGGGTCACGAGGTCAGGAGATTGAGACCATCCTGGCTAACACGGTGAAACCCCGTCTCTACTAAAAAATACAAAAAAACTAAAGCCGCCGCGAGGTGGCGGGCAAGACTGTAGTCCCCAGCTACTGGGGAGGCTGAGGCCCCAGACAGAATGCGGAAACCCAGGAGGCCGGAGCCTTGCGCAGTGAGCCTGAGATCCTGCCCACTGCACCTCCCCCAGCCCTGGGGCCCGACCAAAGTGCGACTCCGTCTCCAAAAGAAAAAAAAAAAAAAAAAAAAAGAATAAAAAGGAATAAGGGTGAAACAGGCCCCAGGCGTGATGACCCCGCTGTAATCCGCAAGCATTTGGGAGAAGGGCCCAAGGGCGGGCAGATTACCTTGAGGTGCAGGAGTTGGAGAGCCAGCTGGCCAATCATGGTGAAACCCCATCCCTCTAACTCGAAAATAACCACAGAAACTTTGCTGGGCATGGTGGCCGTGTGCCTGTAGTCCCAGTACTTGGCAAGGCCTGAGGCAGGAGAATCACTGAACCCGGGAGGCCAGAGGTTGCAGTGACCGAGATTGCGCCATTGCACCCCAAGCTTGGGAGACCCAAGAGGGAAACTCATCCTTAAAAAAAAAAAAAAAAAAAAAAAAAGAAGA